ACATATTTTTTATTCATTTCTGAAATGAATATTTTCCCCTAAAAAAGGTTTTTCCCTTATTTATAAATTATGTTTCATAACTTCTGCACCACTTAATTTTTTTTCTTAAAAGTTCCCCCCCCCCCCAAAAAAAAATAATAATAAATAACATACATAAATTGTATTTCTTGTCGATATGTAGATCTCAATGATGAGTGTTCAGCTAGCCTTGTTTATCTAACCTTGTTTATCTAACCTTGTTCATCTAACCTTGTTCATCTAACCTTGTTTATCTAACCTTGTTTATCTAACCTTGTTTATCTAACCTTGTTCATCTAACCTTGTTCATCTAACCTTGTTTATCTAACCTTGTTTATCTAACCTTGTTCATCTAACCTTGTTCATCTAACCTTGTTCATCTAGCCTTGTTTATCTAACCTTGTTCATCTAGCCTTGTTTATCTAACCTTGTTCATCTAACCTTGTTCATCTAACCTTGTTCATCTAACCTTGTTCATCTAACCTTGTTCATCTAACCTTGTTCATCTAGCCTTGTTCATCTAACCTTGTTTATCTAACCTTGTTCATCTAACCTTGTTCATCTAACCTTGTTCATCTAACCTTGTTCATCTAACCTTGTTCATCTAACCTTGCTCATCTAACCTTGTTCATCTAACCTTGTTCATCTAACCTTGTTCATCTAGCCTTGTTCATCTAACCTTGTTCATCTAACCTTGTTCATCTAACCTTGTTCATCTAACCTTGTTCATCTAACCTTGTTCATCTAACCTTGCTCATCTAACCTTGCTCATCTAACCTTGTTCATCTAACCTTGTTCATCTAACCTTGTTCATCTAACCTTGTTCATCTAACCTTGTTCATCTAACCTTGTTCATCGACCACTTGTTTAGATATTGTTTCTCACTTCATCCCCACTGTCTAGTGACTAGTAAAACGTGTATCATCCGTGTGTTCCAATACACCAAAACACGCCATAGATCATTTCATGTTATAAAGTTATTCAATCCATCGCTACACGGAGTAGTCAGGTACAATGTACTCAAAATCCACTTGGTACACAACAGAATTACTCTTTTAAAAATTCATCTCGCAGAACTCAGCAAGACAAAACAAGTTACACCGTGAATATCATCCAACGCTTCTGCACGGCCATAGTTCCACCATATCAACAACAAGACTAACACGTCATTTCCCCTTAACCAAGTGCGTCACAAAAATCTCAATAAAATAGATACAGTTACACATATACTCTCTAAACTAAACATCTGTTCCCAAACCAAACATAACACCAGTGATTCTCATACCCTTGACATTCCTTATAATTTTATAATTTCGTTTGTTGTGTAACTACAAACATGCCGGTTTTTATGTGGCTACAAACATTCCCGTAGTTACGTTGCTACAGACGCAGTAGACAGATGGATATCTGTCTTTCATGAACAGCGTCTCGTTGTACCTGCTCATCTCTGAATTATTGCTCTTATACATATCATCAAACTATAGACACGAAGACTTTTTACTCAATCTTTGTTACCTTCTATAAATGACAGATGTTATCTGGAGTAACACTTTCGTCAGAAGAACAAGATCTGGATTTATTACTTCAGGTAAATATAATTTTCTCTTCAGTTAAACATCATTACATTTTCAGGTAAAAATCATTGTATCTTTATGTGATTTAGTTTGCCGGAAGTCAATAAAAGAAAGGAAAACAAAATGGCCCCTCGATCTATCTCCGTTTATATATATCAATACGACACGATAGTTCAGTTGTAGAATCAATAGAAATAAACTTAAGTGGCTAGTCAATAGTACCATATGGAAGTAGCCAATGAAAATGACCTTTGGGTGTAACCAATCAACATAACCCTATGGAAGTAGCAAGTCAATATAACCCTAGTGTTTAGTGTTAGATAAAAATGACTAGACGCTAGCCACTTTGGTTAGAAGATAACCAATTAGGACCACCTTTTAGTTTCATATATATATATATATATATATATATATACTAGAATAAATGACCCGATGTTATCGGAATAATAATGGTAGATCCTCTGCGATAATTTCTAACTGCTATTGCAAAAACTCACCCCAATTCATAACTAATAAAATGTAATGATATTTACGTTTCTAACATCATTTGCGTATCCTACACCCTTTCACGCTTCTAAACTATCACTAATTATATCACTCTTGTCACTAAAGAAGTTAATTGAAGGACAATTATTACGCTAAGAAATACTTTAGATTTACCCTTTTCGTGCCCTTCAATAACAACTTTTTTCTCACAAAATTTTTTAAAAACCTAATCTTAAATTTACAAAAAAAAAAATCTCTATAGTTATAATATAAATATATTTTTTGTTACAGGAATTTGATATATATTGGTATCTTCATAAAAAATGTAAACATATTTTTGCCTTTTTTAAAAATTATATATAATCAGAAAATCGTAAAACAAATAATTCTTTTATCTAAGAAGGGTCTCGCGACTGTTTTTCAGGCCTATATCAGATTTGACTGTCTTTTAAAAAGAAATTAAGTAGTTAATCTCAAAAAATAAAAAAAAAACCTCTTTACTTTTTGCTAAGTAACAACAATTATATAGTTTCATTAAAAAAAAAAGAAAATATTAACCCATCTTCATTTGTCATAATTTAATTTTCAAGTGTGTAAAATGATTGGGTTTTGATATTCATACAAATGTACCCAAGATTTGTTAACGCTATTGATTTTCTTAATTGGTAAACATATATTTATATGTTAAAAGAGAATTTAACATCTCTTTTTTCACAAGTGTAATACCATAAGATTTAAATATCACGTAAAAATGTACACATCCTTTTTCCTATCTCCGATATGTATGTACCCAAGAAGGTTAATTATTAATCAAATTAATTCCTTTATTTTGGGACGTATCTTGTATTGCCTTGGGCAAAATGGACATACAAATATTGGTAAAAAGAGAATGTAACATCTTATTTTTTCACAAACGTAATACTATAGCAGTTAACTCTGTTGTCATCCACGTAAGAATTCACACATCTTATTTCCTACCTAAGACATGTATTTACCCAAGACAATTAATTATTTATCAAATTCATTCCTTTATTTTGAGACTATCTTGTGGTGCCTGGGGCAAAGTGACCAAACCCTCCCCCATCAAGATTTAAATAAATTTAGAAAATCTTCCACCGGATTGTAGTCCCTTCCATACCCAACTAACATATTTTTGCATTTCATATGGCTCGTTCTTATTTGCATGAGGTATAAGTGGATTAGTGAATGCTATTTAGCTAGGGAGTTGCGCTGCACTGATTGGCTTAAACCGCATTTTTGATTAGAATTTTATTTAAAGGTTAGTTTTTATTACGTTATAAATTTAATAAAAGTATATTTTTGGAATAAAAAAAGGCAAAACTTTTTAAATGTAAAAATATACAAAGCAAAAAGCTGTGTGTGTTTTATAAAAAATAAAAAAAGCAATCAATTGTATTTATTAATTTTACTTTTAAGAAGGGAAAATACATTATCAGTTGTGTCACCCACGGTTATTAAATTTAAAGAAACCTAAGAGTTTTGGCGAAATAGGCTATTCACGCTATGACGTCATTGGCGTGATTATTTAGAACACATTAATTTCCAGTTTTATTTTGGCAATATGAACAACGCACTAAAAGACGCACTAAAAACGACTGATGATTGGGTTTTCCATCTAAATGTTATTACGGTGTAGTTCTTTGATCATCATTGTTCTAATTTTTTTTATATTTTCATAACTTTCAAACACATAAAATGCATAAAATAGTTCTTAGTTGATATTTTAAATGTATTTGTAATTTAAAAAAAAAATTACGCTAACTTTTACTAAAATAAAAGCGGATTTAAAATATGTTTTGCGCATTTAGATTTATTCGATTTCCGTAAATAAATAGAAAATAACCATTATTGTTTTTAGTAATCCAAAGTACTTAAATCATAACACCGTTTTGGCGTTTTGTCACTCTAGCTCATTCTTATATATATATATATATATATATATATATATATATATATATATATATATATATATATATATAGAGAGAGAGAAATAGAAAAAAAATATTATTTTTTTTAGTAATACAAAGTACTTAAATCATAAAACCGTTTTTGTTTTTTGTCTCTCTCTCTCTTTTTTATATATATATATATATATATATATATATATATATATATATATATATATATATATATATATATATTGAGAGAGAGAGAGATAGTTTAATTCTTGGTAGTAAGGTGGTAGTTAATGCATTAAGAAATAAATCTGTTAGATAATATAGTGGGTAATGTAGGTAATGTAATAAATATTGATAAATAGTATATAAAAAAATTTGTTTTAACATATATTAGTAATTATTTTAATTGATTATTCATTAATTGAACTTTCATACAGGACGACAGCCAGTGTGAACACAGAACATCAGTTAAAGAACCTGAACATTCTATCAATAATCAGTCACTCAAAGATCATTTGAACAGTAAGCAGTTGACCAATGGACATTTGACCTGTAAGCAGTTGACCAATAAACATTTGACCAGTAAGCAGTTGACCAATGAAGATTTGACCAGTAAGCAAGTGACCAATGAAGATTTGACCAGTAAGCAAGTGACCAATGAAGATTTGACCAGTAAGCAGGTGACCAATGAAGATTTGACCAGTAAGCAAGTGACCAATGAAGATTTGACCAGTAAGCAAGTGACCAATGAAGATTTGACCAGTAAGCAAGTGACCAATGCACATTTTACCAGTAAAAAGTTGACCAATAAACATTTAACCAGTAAGCAGGTGACCAATGAACGTTTGTCCAGCACGCAAGTGACCAATGAAAATTTGTCCAGCAAGCAAGTGACCAATGAAAATTTGACCAATAGAAAGGTGAATAATGAAAAGTTGACCAGTAAGCAAGTGACCAATGAAAATTTGAGCAATGAGAAGCGAATCAGTGAGAAGGTTAACAATAAACTTCCAACACAAAAGCCAGCACCACCACAAACTCAGCGACAACCATCAAGACCAGACCAGTGGGCAGTTTTGGTAGACATCAATGAGTCAGTGCAAGATTTTCATGAAAGAATTCCGCAAATGGCTTTTCATGTAGGTTTAACAATTGACGATTTTAAAATAACCTGTAGTATTAAGTCAATGGGATCAGATGGTCAAGTTTTAGAATTTATTGAAATAAGCTGAACTAGCCAATCAACTTAACCCTATGGATGTAGCAAGTCAACATAACCCTACTGATGCACCTAGTCAACATATGTCAGCAAAGTCATTTTGGGTTAGAAGAATTTTAGGCTGATTCTTCTGAAACTCTCGCTTTTGCCTGCCCGATAGTTTTAAAGCACCTTTCTATAAATAGATATCTAAGTGAATCTACACTGGACTAAAAGTGTTTCTTTGTATATTGCTAAGGTCAACATTTCCTTTAAAGTGAAAAGCTAGTTATGAATTAAAAAAAACTTGAACGGTAATGACACAACCCCTAATTAAACAAAACCCCAAAACAAAGAATTTTCGTCAAAAATACTTTGTATAATGTAATATCCAGCAATCGGGGTGGTGTTAAAAGTTTGGCAAAACATGCATAGAAGTAATGCCCTTTATAAGAATCCCAATAATCGATTTTTCCCCAAGTTTTTTTTACTCCACACAGCTATAATAATATTGTAATGAGCCACCCACTTTTACACCGCAGATTTATTTCCTCAACTATCTCAGAAAAAAAAAGACAATATTACGCGCCAAACGCGCATGCAATTTAAAAAAAAAAAAGAATCACATTTAACGCAGTTATCGGGAATTCTATATAGTAAAATAAGTGGCATCATATTCCCTTCATCATCCTCTTGAAAAACTAGAAAAAAAACTTGTTTTTGGGTATTGTGGGTGGGGCTGAAAATCTCAAAGAATGTGTTGTCAGTGGCAACGAGTCTTTGTGCCAAGTTTCAACTCGATAGCTTGACGAGAAGTGGGTCTATTAGCGGTCCGGAGATTTTGCCAGCCAGAAACACACGAACAAAGCGGAGTTAATATAAAGGATTTAAAAATAATGCACATTTCAGACACATCTGGGGAACTGAGTACAGAAACACAAATTCGGACACATCTGGGGAACTGAGAACACAACACACAAATTCGTAAATTAGATGGCGAGAACATGTCTTACATTTCTGTGTGTTCTTCTATTGCCACCATTGAAATAACTCACGTGACCACCTGGTTTACACATCCATTCACAGTGGCCGTTTGAGCTGGACACGTTCCAGAAGCAAGCCATCCTGAGGCTAGAGAACAACGAGAGCGTCTTTGTGGCCGCCCACACGTCTGCTGGGAAGACTGTAGTTGCAGAGTACGCCATCGCGTTGTCTATACGTCACATGACAAGGTCAGGGGTCATTCTATCTTAAAACATTTTTTTTTGCAACTCCCTTGTTTAAAAAACAAACCTCAATATCTTAAAACATGACATTTTGTGCCTCATATTGTTTTTGATATTTCTGTTTAAAAGTAAATCATTAACTATTATTACTCCGAGAAAAAACAATTTTGAGACACACTATCCTCCTCGTCAGCACCCAGTGTGTCCCAGAGTTTTGAGGCGTGTGTCCAGATCTTCACAATAAATTATGAAAGCAGGAGAGAAAATGTCGAAACGATATAAATGTATTGCCGAGAGGTCAAAATATGATGTTTTTAAATCCATAAACTTCAAGTATTTAAAAACACTGACGGTTAGGGAGTAGGCTGACTTTTTTGTCATGTCTTCAGGACGATCTACACATCACCCGTCAAGGCTTTGTCCAATCAGAAGTACAGGGATCTGAAGATGACATTTGATGACGTCGGGCTCATGACAGGTGACATTCAGATTGATGACAACGCGTCGTGTATTGTGATGACCACGGAAATCTTGAGGTTAATCTCTTTCTCCCCATTACTTTTTTTTTTCTCTCTCTCTCTCTCTCTCTCTCTCTCTCTCTCTCTCTCTCTCTCTCTCTCTCTCTCTCTCTCTCTCTCTCTCTTTCTCTCTCTCTCTACTCTCTCTCTCTCTCTCTCTCTCTCTCTCTCTCTCTCTCTCTCTCTCTCTCTCTCTCTCTCTCTCTCTCTCTCTCTCTCTCTCTCTCTCTCTCTCTCTCTCTTTCTCTCTCTCTCTCTCTCTCTCTCCCACTTTCTTCTAATCCCATACAAGTAAATAATATATACTTACACGTTTACAAAACAAACCTGTAACGTTGAGATAGGAATCAAACGGAGATGACCCTTTATGGTCTGCCCAAAGGACTATGTGCTTAGATCAATGGTCAAGACACAGTTTATGCCTTCAATACAAATATGCTGAACGTCTGGCATTCCGCTATGGTAACAATACAGAGTTTGGACTCACAACAGTGCAACAAAAGCTGCACTGTGACTTAACTCATTAATATGCCACAAACAAATCATTTTTTTTTCAAAGATGCAGTAAAATTAACGTTTGTTTCACGGTTCGTGGTAAAAAAATTAAAATTTCATTTTATTATGGTAATTACGGTAATTAATCTTGTTTAACCCAAAAACGCCACTGGAGATGAGTATAATTAATTCAGATATTTCTTAGCCCCAGTATTCGAAGAAATAAAAAGGAAAATGTGATTACCAACATCAGATTTGATAAATGTCCCACAGGACGATGCTGTACGAGGGCTCTGATATCTTCCAAGAGCTGGAGTGGGTCATCGTGGACGAGGTGCACTACATCAACGACACGGACAGGGGCGTAGTCTGGGAGGAGGTGCTCATCATGCTCCCCGACTACGTCAAGCTGGTGATGCTGAGTGCCACAGTGCCCAATACGATGGAGTTGGCGGAGTGGGTGGGGTAAGGTGGAGTGGGTGGGGTAAGTTGGAGTAGGTGGGCAAGGTAAAGGGTTGGGTAAAGTGGAGTTATGGAGAAATAGTGGTGTGGGTGGGGTAAGGTTGAGTGGATGGGGTAAGATTGGGGTGGGGTAAGGTGATGTTGGGGATAGAGTGGAGTGGGTGGGGTAATTGCTGGAGTGGATGGAGTACGATTAGCTGGGTAGAGTTAAGTGGAGGATGTAGGGTAAGGTGAAGTGGATGGGTTAAGATGAAGTGGGTCGGGTAAATCGGTTGAAAAGTTTATTACGAAACTACCTTACTTGGTAATTTATCAAGTCGGACACCAGTAGTACTATTACTACTTAGTTGCACTTAGTTGAAGGCCCAATGATATCACTAGGCAGACATCATTTAAAAAAAAAACTTATTTCATCATTGTACCAGCTCCCATGTGTTGATGTTTTTTAAAACTAGAAATAACCCGCCAATCAATGGCGGTGCCAGCGCGTGTCCTCCCAATTAGCGAGTTTAGTGGACATCACATGGGTTCAAGGAACTCACTTTATTGGACTCCCAATTAGCGCAAAGTGCTGGCAACGTTTTTTTTACCGCGACCAGTTAACACAACAATACCGCCATAACACAGCAATACCGCCATCCATAGAGACATAGGGAATTGTTGTGTCTAGCTAAAACGTTAGCAGTCACTATTGATGTTTGTTACATTATTTTTTAACATGGTTTATTACCTTTATGTTTGTCAAAATTGTTTTATATCATATTGTCAAAAAATACTGTACCATCAACACACACAAACACACACCCACAAACACACACCCACAAACACACACCCACAAACACAAACACACACCCACAAACACACACCCACAAACACACACCCACAAACACACACCCACAAACACACACCCACAAACACACACCCACAAACACACACAGTAAGCCCTGACGATTGTAAATTGATATCGTGTAAATAACTCACTTTATACGTTGGTTGCTATGGGACACAGATCTACCCTTGTTATCGTACACAGATCTACCCTTGTTATCGTACACAGATCTACCCTTGTTATCGTACACAGATCTACCCTTGTTATCGTACACACATCTTCGTCTGAATTGCGGAGCTAAATAAATATTAAGACCTCAACACTTAAATAAAAGAAAACGCATTCTTATCGTTAAACACATTACCACTGTTTCCAATATAACTTTAAAAAATGTATCTTGCATTTTTATTTCATCTTGGTGCAGACGGATCAAACGCAAACAGGTACACGTGATCACAACAAAAAGTCGCCCCGTGCCCCTACAACATTTCCTGTACACGGGTGCCGTAACGCCCTGCGCACCGAATGGTCTGTTTATGTTTATAGACGAACATGGAAGATTTCTCGAACAAGGGTGAGTCTGTCTTGTGTTTCTTCACCGTTACAAGACTAGAAAAGACTTAAGACCCATGTCTTAGAATGACGTGAAGTACGGGGGCTCTTTCAAATTACGCGGGAGTTTGGACAGAATACGCCACACATCCGATCTCTGTCAGCAACGGGGTGGGTCGTTACGCCGCCGCCACCTAATCGCCAACGTTGCTACCCCAGCCGTATCACCGCCTGGACAGTTCGCTGCCACACGTTTTCTTCGCAAAGATATACCAATTTTTAACTTTTTACAGAAGTCATTGTATACAATTAGAGTAGATTAAAGAATGTCAAATATATCACTTTAAAAAGAGTGAATCGTTTAGTTCATAGCAATATATCCATTTAGATGATTATGTTGACCTAACAAACTAGATCTATCTATCTATCTATCTATCTATCTATCTATCTATCTATCTATCTATCTATCTATCTATCTATCTATCTATCTATCTATCTATCTATCTATCTATCTATCTATCTATCTATCTATCTATC